GGTTGCATTGCATTGCGATTCTCCAATAAGGTCTAGAGGGAGTGGAGCAATAGTAGGTTTTTTTTTTTTTTTTTTTTTTTTTTTTTTTTTTTTTTTTTTTTTAAGAAAAAGAAAAGGAAGTGTATTAAAGGAGTTTTTTTTTTTTTGGATGGAGGAGTTGCGTGAAGAAGTTAAAAGATAGTATATATAGAGAGAGATTAAGAAGTTGTTTAATGGGTGTTTTTCACGGTTTTTAAACACATGAACCATTGATTGTAAATATTCAAAAAAAATAAAAATAAAAAAATTTCAAATTGGCTAGCGTATGCTTGCAACAAATGGAAGGGAAAAAAATATAGAGGTTCCTTGACCACCATTGAAGGCGAGATAGAAAAATTGTAATGGTGGTTTAGAACATAATGTTATGTTTCTCCATAATGGTTTTGGAGAGAATTTCGTATATGGTAACACTTGGTAGGTAAACTACGGGATATCGAAAAAGCTTTGTTTCTCCGTGTAAGGGGTTTGGAGAAAAAAAAAATATATATGTCAATGGCATCTCTTGGTATATGAAATACGGGGTGCCAAAAGAGTTGAGCGAAAAGTGTGTTTTTGGTTTGAAGCTTTCCGAGAAGAAAGTTTGATATGGCCACCATCATTTGTCGGCGTTAACAAAGGGTTTTGATAGTGTAACCATGGTAGTAGCGGAAACAAGAAAATATGGATCAAAAGCTCATGATACCATGATAGAGTTATGAGAAAGAGAATGTTAGAAAATATGTAATCATCTTTATCCTTTATATTTTAATCTTTGATTTGTTAATTTGATTGATTGATCGATTGAATTTAGGGGAATTTATATTACTGGAAGTAGTTTGATTGGTGGCGCCATTAAAGCTCCACGAATTACCTCCAAAAACCTTAATAGGTAACGTAATTAACTATATTTTTATAATCTGGTTGCATTTTCCCATAATTTAGCTCTTTTTAGGGATTTTATTTGAGAATTAGCTTTACATTGCTTACCTGAAGTTGTAATTAGTTTGCTCATTGGTTACAAGTATTAAATTTGTTATTTGTATGTATGCAAATGATTCAAAATAATTCAAATGAGGTCCCTTTATAGTCACATGTTTGCATTTGATAGTCTATGTCTTGTGGTGAATATAATGAATGAAGGAAAGCATCCAAATGCACCACACATGTTTTATTTACTCCTCTGAAGATGCTGAACTTGCTGGTTGTTATTTGATAGTCCATGCTCATGCTATTTGCACTGTGAAGGAGGAATGCTTTCTTTGATTTGTGGCGCATATGTTTAACCCACTCCATATTCCTTGGGAAATCACTCATATGTTACAATGTTATCCTTTTCTTTCCTCCTATATTGTTCATTGAACTTCCAAATCTAAGCAATATAATTGAAGGTTAAAAACTATACTGATAATAGTTTAACATTAAAAGCCATATACAACACTTATATGCACCGTCAACTGTGTTAAATTTATCTCATGAATTCATCATCAAAAGCTAGTTGGTCACACAACTTGTTTAAATACAAAATTAGTAATTTAGCTAAATCCAACAATAGTTTAATGGAACTGTAGTATATAACAAATCATCCATGGAATCTTCACTATTGGTGATACCATACTTGCAGGTTTCCAAAGAGTAGAATACCATACCCTTTCCTTAAAACCTTGGAAGGTAGACCCTGTTACTTATCCCAGTCTCCCTGCTAGTCAAAGCCGAAAACGAAGAAAAATGGCTGATAAAGAAACAGTGATTTTCTAGCCTTTTAACTGGAACCAGTTCTGGTTCAATATGTCAAATCTAAACACATTAACCCATTTTCCCCAGTTTCCGATTAACACTGAATACAATGCTCCATTGCACTCGACTAGATGACATTTATGTAACTCACAATCCTTCATATGATTCATCTCACTAGGCTTATCATAAACTTGCCACCTTTTGTTTCCGTTTGCCAATAATTCGAATGCTCCAAGTTTTCCGTCTCTGTCAATGATGTAAAAGACTCCCTTTTAATAAACCGGACTGCTTATACTAGGATAAGTATAGTTCCAAGCAAATCTTTAACGGTAGCTGTTGGAGTTGTTCTAACAATTAAGACCTCGTTTCTCAAAATAAAAAAAAAATAAATAAATAATAACCACACACAGGATTATATTGTTCCTTAAGTCATTCTTTTGCACCTATTTATTTTCCTCATTTGATTTATTGCGTTTTTCAAATTATAAACTTTTGATGCATATAAATTAAAGTAGGCATTGAAACAAATCTCACAAGATCCCACTTTATTTAATTTTTGAATAATAGCAAGATCCCAATTGAGTATATTGTCTTATAGATCAGTCAAAATTCTCAGTTAAATTTTAAAATTTAGACCACAAACGATGCAATGAGGCAAATAAACAAGACGAAGGGAGTATAATTAACTTACAAAATAAAGTCAAAATAACATATAATCATATCTATTAAAATGAAAAACAGAAATTTTATCAAAAAACATATCTATTAAAATGAAAAGTTTATATACTTCTTACGTATTATATCTAAACAGTCAAGTGAAATTATATAATATTCGTATAATCGTATAAGATTATATGTTTAATTAAGACTTTTACTAAAAGATAATCAAAGATATATAGATCATTACTAACTGTAAAATCGATGGTATACCAAAAGTTGTAATAGGACAATATACGTACAATTCTTGATTTGTTAGACATGCAACATACATTCTTTACTTCATATGTTAGATAGTCCTTAACTTAAAGTATAACCAACATAACTGGAATAATACGCACTGCTGACATCCTAATGAAGTATGTAGCTTCATAATTATTAGCAAGCTAAATTATATACTAATAGCCAAATAATAATGTATTTTATACTAGTATTATTCCATATACAAATAACTGTTAATCTTATTAGCTAAAAATGAGTAAGCAAATTAATTGACAACTAGTTGCTTAATACAAAAGATTGCTAATACGACATCCAATAATTGGCTGTATAGATAGTGGCAAATATAAACTTGCCATGTGGTACTCTTTCATGTCCAGCCCAATTTCTTTGTTAAATAGTCACTCCTTAATAATGTACTTATTTATGTAATGTACTAGATTATATAATATGCTATATACTATATATTAGGCCTTAATTATACATCAAACACCCTCCAAGAAAACAAATTAAAAGATATTACATAACATATAAAAATATTAAGAAATGGGAAATTGCATAGAGCATGAATCATCTCAAGTTATATGGGGAGGGGAAGATTGGACGTCGTTGTTGATGAGCAACGGCGAAAAAAGAGCAATGAAGATGGAGGAAGAGGAGCTACTAAGGAAGATAAGAGCAAAATACTCGGTATCAAAAGAGGTAAAGGTGAAGATGACAAAGAAGCAATTTGAAGAATGGTTAAAGAAGATAGATGTGGAACAAGAAGGGTTGTATGTTGAACAAACATTGGGAGAGTTGATGAAAGTTGGTGTTCAATGTCAGGTGCATGAAATTTCTTGGAAGCCTAGATTGAAAGTCATTCCTGAAGCTAAGCTTAATTAGTTTAATTTGGTCATTATTTCTTCTTAAATGTAATAATATATAGTTAGGTTTTTTTTTTTTTTTTAACAAGCAAGGGTTTTAATTAGTTGCTTGATGTGGGTGTATAATGGATTAAATTGCCATTTTTGATAATTTGTATATATTGTTGAAGCCATGTTTAAATTTGGGATGTTGAAAACTTATTTAAAAAAAATTATTGTTCGTCATTAAGTGTGAATAAATTAGTATTAATGGTATTTATTAGAATTATTTTTTAAGAACGAGTACAATTTTTTTACGTACGTACTGTCTCACAAAATTACATTCATAGTCTACATTTAAATGTAATTATTTTACACCTTTGTATATTGTGCTTTCTACCTGATCACTTACAGAGAGGATGTAAAATTACGCTTAGTTGCACATAGGATGGATCTTAAAAGGACACGGATTTATATTTTAATGTGTACTTTCATTATGCTATTCCATGATATATAAGATCGAGATTATAGTAGCCTCACCCTCTCTCCCGGCCGGCCACATACTGTCATGTACTCATGTTGTTGCCTTCACTTCTTATTAGAGGATGCCTTCACTTCTTATTAGAGGATGATCAAGTGCTCCCACGTTGTCTATATATATATTAATTACGAAGTATTTCTTTATTTATTGATTTTTTTTTTTATATATTAAGCTTTCATTATTGTTGCTCTTAATTTAACAATTAGTTATGGTTGCATCCATGTGGTAGTGGAATGGTGGTAGTGTTGAGACTCTTGCATTTGGTGGTGGTATGACATTTGATGGAGTCATCAACCTCGTCTTTGGTTATTCACATTGGTGTTGAACATGTAAATATCAATTGTGGTGGAAGTAAAGGGAGGCCGGGAAATTGTGTATTTTGTTTTATATCTTCAAACCTAAGCTTAACTTTATTAGCCACAATGGTATATAGAAAAAATCAACAATGTATGGGAAGGGGGGAAATTTCGCATTTGAGTCCTTTAAAATTTGATCCCTAAATTATAGGGATTTGGAATTTTGAGGTGAGAATCGAGCTATAGTGCAATACCACTTGAACCTTGTTTGATAATTTCTTTTTGGTGTAAATTTATTTATTTATTTAAATATTAAAGATAGCAATTATAGTAGTTATCCAAACATTTTTTTTCTTCTTTTTGTATTACGTGTAAGACATGTTAAACTCACAATACATACCTAGCTATACAAAACCCTTTACAATTCACATTGAAATCAATCAATCCCCTAAAACTTACAAAGTACAAGACAATTATCCCATAACATAAACACTTTTTCCTACATGAAGTACGTCATAAAATTTGTACAAGTCATTTAAAAAAAAAAAAAAAAGTTAAACCATTTTACACCAACCTTAGCTTGTTGTAAAACTCAAAATTTTTTGTACAAGTTAACAAAAACATATAGCACTAAACTTCATATATGGTCTGCAACATAGGCCTCCAAGATCTATGATATGTCTTACAGTGAACACTAACTTTGATCAATTGAGCTAAAGCTTGTTCAACGCACAACCCCTTTTGTTCTACATTCATTTTCCCTAACCATTTCTCTAATTGTCTCTTTGTTACCTTCACCTTCACCTCTTTTATTTTCGACGTCGTTGAACTCTTTGTTTCTTTGCTATCATATGTAATTGCTAACTCTTCCTCTTCCTTTTTCATGGCCGATTTTTCGTCTTCGGTCATCATTGCCGGCGTCCAATCTTCCCCTCCCCATATAGCTTGAGATTGTGGCTTTATACAATTCCCCATTATTTTTTTAAATTCGACTAATATTTGTGTTATTTTTTACGTGCTAGTGTTGTTGTATTTATAATCTTAGAAGTTTAATTAATTTTTTCTTTCTCAAAAAAATGTTTGATAAAGAAGGCTATAATTTGGATGCCATTATCCAGTTATTTGGGAGCCTTTTATACATGGATAATACACTGTTTATGAGAAGAGAAGGTCAAAAAAGTCGTCAAACCAATAACACAAGTTAATTAGTGTAAATTTTCATGTAATTAAGAATATTAATACAAGATTAGGACGAAATAGTCTTGCCTGGCAGGTAATGATAAAAGTTGTGTGCGTAAAAAAAATTTAGTGTTGACTGACTCTTGCATATCTACTGTATGGAATTATGGATAATTATGAATTGTAAACTTTAGAATTATTGTCCAAAAGCAACTAAGTAGTTTGCATGTGAATGCTGACTCATTATTACTTGTATATTTTATATACTTTTATATATTAGCTTGTTTGTACTCCCCCGTCCTATATATTAGTTTGTGTTTGTGTTTTTTCACGGTATTTAAGAAATAGGAGGAGATCGAAAGTGGATAAAGTATATAAATAAAAGTGAAAAGTATAATCATAGACAAAAGTTAAAGAGAGAAAGTGGAAAAAAAAAGATAGAAGGTGTGTGCAAAATTCAAGAAAAAATTAGAAAATTAATAAAGTTAAAAAAGTGAGAGTATAATAGTATTTAGTTTACATACTATCCAAAAATGAAAACAGAAACAACATTTTGTTTTCTAAAACAGGAATTATATTATGAAACGGAAGGACTAGGGAGTATAAGATTTAAGGTACCGCGAAAAAAGTAGATTGAAAAAAATAGGTGGCTGAGTGTGAAATCCAATTCAAAATTAAATAAAAGAACATTAAAGATAAACTATACCATAAGGAAAACAATGTATATGAATTGAAACAATACACCCCGTCATAAAAAGCTATTAGGGGATGGATCGAAGTATGTATTTGGCTAGGTAGATTAATTTAATTCTTTATTCTGATTTACAATATAGCCCTTTAATTTCATCTTGAAACAATATTTAATTTTGAATATTCAGGAAAATAAAATATACAATTTACTTTATTAACCTTTAAAATATTTACACAACACGTCTTCAAATAAATCGAACCATGCAATCGTGCATGACCATACGAGAATGAGAGGAAATTGGATCTAAAACTTTCATGAGGAAGAGGATAGGATCATCTCAACATGCATAAGCCAAGAAAAAAAAAATAAAGAAATAAGATATTGTTCCCTTACGAAGTTATTACACTTACAACTAATGTATATTGTCTCTGTTTATTACAATTGTAGTGCGTCATGTTTAATTCATATAAATTAACTTTGTTCATCATATTGTTTTTCTAATAAGTGGGTTTTCAGCTGTCAGTCTCAAGCTTGGATAAATTGATAATTTGATAAAGGAGGAAGGTTACGATAGGTCTGTGATATTTAGTGTAAAACTTTGTCACATCGCCTGACATGAGCCACGATGTTTGAGAACAAATAGTATTAGAATGGGTGACCTCTTGGGAAATTTTCATTTTAGTTTATGTAGCCAACTTCACTTATTAGATGTTCAAGAAGAAGAAGAGAAAGAAAAAAGATGTTAAGGGTGGTTGTACTCCCTCCGTCCCTAAATTACATTTCTCTTTCTAGCATTTATTCCTCATATAATAGAGAGAAAGAGGAATGTAATTTAGGGACGGAGAAAGTAGCATTTTAACTTCAATATATATTGTAAAATTATGAACTTAGCTGTGATACTTATTATTTTTGAAAATAGATATTATGGTCTGGAAAAGTTGTAGATTATGTTAACATGTATGTTACATGTGTGAAACATATAGTACTAGTGTACCACTAATCTATACAAGTAATCCTTTTTTTTTTTCTTTCTTTTATCTAAGTTCTATCACTTTTCGCTTTTATCAAATTTCTAAGTCTATCTGCTTTGTTCCTTTTATAACAACTTTTGTTAATTTTTTTTATCATTCACTATCCTTCTTTGTAGTGCCCAATTTTATTATAATCTCTTACTTTAGTATCTCTTCTCTATATACTCCGTATAATATAAAAGTATTCACATGCATGGTCTAGAACTCAACGTACACAACAAAGAGAGCATTTTCAGAACAATTCAATTCAACAAAATCAATGTCTTTTATTTGCTAGTGTCTACATTAAATTCTCACCTGATCTGAAACGTGACAATTGAAAATTATTATAAATGCATGAAGTAACACGTTGAATCGAGGAACTAGCTGAGGAAAGAAAGAAAGAAAAAAGAGATAAAGAGTTGAACAGCATATCAACTTTGAATGTTTTCTCTAACATACCAATTGCATCAGAAACTATTCAAGCACATTTTTTTTTCCAAATTAATTTTCAATATTTAAATAATTTTGTCTTATGTGTATAAATAAAGTGAGTACACTCTAACATACCAATTGCTTTATTTAATCTTTTTAGTAAATTAATTAGGTTCTTCAAAATTCGAGGGATCTCTCAGATCACCAACTGCATCTGATCTCATCATAATTTCAATAATCTTCTTTTTCCAACTTTCAAAGCATTATGGCCACCTCACTATATATTTGTTTTTTTATTAATTAATTTATTTTTATAAAAGTTAGTTATACAAAAGTGAGACTGGTGACAATAAATAATGATACTTTTATAAATAGGGTAATGCTATACATAGCCCTTAGGGCTATATATAAGCATTAAAAACACTCTTAGAAATTGTATAAAATTAGGAATTCATGACAAAATCACGCGTAGATCAGTGTAATTAGTATGAATTTGTCATGATTTTCTAAATTTAAGCAGTTTTCAAGAGTATTTTTAATGCTTATATGTAGCCCTAAGGGCTATGTATAGCATTTTCCTTATAAATAAAGTAAAGGTAAAATACAGTCCCTACACTTTCATATTTGTGCACTTTTAGTCCTTGTTAACTTTTTTGTGCACTTTTGATCCATCCTTCACCACTTTAGGTGTATTCTAGGCAAAAGTTTAGGGACTATATATGCTGACTAAGCATTAGTTTAGGGACTATGAGTCAGCAAAATAGTTTAGGAATGTTGAGTCATCAATAGTTTAGGGACCATGACTTATATATATATATATTCCCTTTCTTTCCCTTCAGACTTTATTAAAAAAGAATCTTTTAAAATTAAAAAAAAATAAAGTAAATTAGTTTCAGTAATTTAATTTTTTCTTTATTTTTTTCGGAAGAACTATTAAGTTTGGTGTAAATTTGCTTTTAAGTTATGATAGATTGCATGTCTTTTATATATATGACTATCTATGGCCATTAATCCATTATGTTTGTTCAATTTACCTATCTGATTTTATATGAAATTTGTTTATATAATCTAAACTATTTTAGTTTGATTTGATATGTTCTTATCCAATTAGGATTTTATTTTGGTGGTTTAATTTTATTTATTTTTTAAAAAATGGATATGATATTATACTATAAATTATTGCATTTGATTTTCTTAGACGGAGTTCCTAATAAAGTTACCACCATTTGAAAATAAGTGTTGAAATTTGAATTCTAAGATCAAAATTTTAAGATTGAATATTAGAACTGTTTTTTGATCAATTTTAATTGGGTTGGGTAGTTTTGTATAGGTTTCGACTTATGCTTGACCATCTTGACCCAAAATATTTGGTTTCACACATAATATTTAATTTTTTGAGCTTTGTGTTCATGACCAATTATCGGTATAGTATTGAACTATTGATGCCGACTCGAAATATTCCATGTATAGCTTTTATTGTAATATTTCACTAATGCACAAGAAATATTTATATATTTTGTTCATTAGTTTAGATTCGATGGAAAGAATTTCAAATATTGTCCATAATTCAACTATTATTACACCAATAAAACTATGGACATGTTTTGTTTAGCTTAATTTCAATTCACTTTAGTTCAGTTCCTAATTTTCTTCTCTCATAAACAATTCATTTGATCTCGATCTATTCAATTATCAGTTCACTTCAGCCCCAATCAGAAAAGTAAAAGAAAATTTACACCAAACTTAATAGTTCTTCCAAAAAAAAAATATCTAGGTGTAAATTATATTTATAAAAATTGACAGGAAAAAATAAATTCTGAAGAAAAAAAAAGGAAAAACAAAAAAAAATATATGTCATGGTCCCTAAACTATTAATGACTCAACATCCCCAAACTATTTTGTTGACTCATTGTCCCTAAACTAATGCTTAGTCAGCATAGTCCCTAAACTTTTGTCTAGAAAATACCTAAAGTGGTAGAAGAGGGACCAAAAGTGCACAAAAAAGTTGACAGGGACTAAAAGTGCACAAGTACAAAAGTTTAGGAACTGTATTTTACCTTTACTCTGTATAAATAATTAAATGTAAAATACGTATAGATTGTATCCGTATTAATGTACAAGATATGTATCCTTATACCTTTAAGTTAGACTAATAAAGTATCTAGATATAATTTTACCTACTATTACAACTTCAATCTTAAGGGAAACTTATAGATTTCATAGAGATCGAGTCTCATATTTAAATAGTCAGTTTTCTCTAGAAGTTGTTAGTGAGATGAATTTAAATTTGATTATTGAGGTTTAATTTTACTAAGATTGGAGAATATTTCCACATGAACTTCGATGCCATCTTAGTGTTCTTTAGGTTTTTTGTTGTTTGTTTTGTTCGTTGATAATTGCCTCCCTTTTATGATTGTGATTTTGTTATCCTGATGTGTAATTTTAATGATTCATATTTTGTTTTTATTGGTTGTAGTTTCAAGTGATGTGATTTCAATATGTAATTTTTAGATTGCAATGTTGACAACTTCACATCATATAATTTATTTAAACAAAACACTGGTTTGGTGGGCTCTACAATAGTGCTATATGCAGTCCAAGGACATCCCCTTATGGATAGTGATCTAATTAGGTACAACTTCGGAAATAATTTTGATGGTATAGAGGTACAAGTTTATTAACTCATTTATCTCATAGACAATTAAAAATATAATTTACATTTGATACGTGTTAATAAGTTCATAACACAACAAAATTGTAGAAATCAGTAGCTTTCTACTTTGTCTCTTAGAGATATGAATTCATCAGTATCGGAAAATAAATCTAACATTGTCCTTGTATTCCGCTTTGACTCACTCCCACCTCTTTCAATCTCTCATATCACTCCCTTTGATCTTTTATTAGGGAACCAATAAATATCAGTTATGATACCAAAAAAAAAAAAAAAAAAAAAAAGAAAAACAACGTTTTAGCCAGAATATGTTAGCATCTGATAAGGTAGAGTTTGGAGATTGAGGTTATGTCCTTACTTATTATTTGTGGTAGACTTGAAGTTAACTTTCAACCAAGTTGAAGCTTATAATTACTTGCAAGTGGCTTGGCTCAAGGCCAAATCTAGTCAAACTTGTCAAATTTTAGCTTCTTAATCAGAATTAATTAAATTAAGTGACCAAAAGCAGTCATTTACTTTTGATTCTTGCATAATATTATCAATTTGGTCAAAGAGCTTATTCACCCCACGTGTATACGATATATACTAATCAAAATTCACTAACCTTATTTCGCTTACCTCCTCTTTTCTAAGTCTATGGGCAAATTTTGTCATTGTCGACTATTTATTTGTTTATATTATTTATAGACTTATAATTTAAAATTTTTAGATATCAACTTATCTCGTCTACATCTTTGTTATACGTCTCTTTGCATTAACATGTACGAAGTATACATTATTCAATTATACTTTATATTTCCTTATTATAAGATAAATTTAAAAGCTAGTGACCTCATTTTAATTTTTATACAAATTTCAATTAATTGTGTTGACAAATTTATACGTAACTTAAATTAAATGAGTAGTGTCCGATTGAAACTATTTATTGGTTGTTATATAAATTTTGCTAATAAAAATATGAGTAATACTGATCAATATTAATTATAATTGTTTAATTGACAATAATTTTATTTACTTGAAATCTAGAAACTTACAATCCCTCAAGGTAAGTGTTTTAGGAAACAGAATCTTCCTCGATTTGCAAGGATATTTTGGATATCAAGATGTCATAAGCTTGAGGTCTAATGTCCGAACGTACTTGAATTGAGCTTTGCCTTGCAGAATGTTTGAGAGCAAGGCCTGCAAGAAAGAGAGACTAAGCTGCCTCGGGGGTTTGACCCGAGAACTCCCCTCTAACGCTCAAGTCAGAAAAATATACTTAGTAGAGAGAGATTAGAAAAAGTTACCATCATTAATCATTGATTGAATATTTATAGATGTACTTTCTAGTGATAAAGGTGTACTTTGTTGGACATATTAGGGGTAAATTTGTACTTTGTGATGATTAATGGATGGTTAATTATGATAAGTTGGATCATAAAGGGTATTTTTGTCATTTAAGAGATATTAGGCTTAGGACACGAACTAGGCCCACCCAAACAGTAAGTGTGACCGACTGGTCCGACCCTAAAGATGTAGAGCTTAGTTATAGTTGAACCAGGAGTGGCATTTAACATGTTAAACTCAAGAATATTGTGGAGAAAACGGCTTAACCTTTGTATTGATAATACTCACATATATATACACAATACATCACTTGCCTAAAACTCCTAACAAGATAAACTTAACATAAATACAATATTAACATATATAACAAACCAAACTCTAATATAACACTCTTAAAAAAGTTAGCTTGTTGCGAATTGTACTCCAATTAATTTTGCAACTTTGCAAGACAAACAATTATGTTTTTCTTATATCTAATTATGTTTTGCTTAGGAGATTCAAAATTATTCACGTACTCTATTACGGGAGTACTACTTTTTATGATTATTCCCATACTCAATTAAATTCCATTAAAAGTTTATAGATTAAAATATAAAATAGATACCGATAATAAATTCCAGGAAAAAAAAAATAAAAATCAAACTTTGATGTGTCTTTTAACCATGTACTTCGTATATGATTTGGTGTATAAAAATGGAAAAAAGTTCATAATAAACTATATGTACAACTTTACAACCTACCAAAATACCAACTTGATCAACTATACAATAATCAACCGTTGTTGTATTCACCTAACTACCCAAAAAATAAAAAAAACCCAAAAAGGAAAAAAGAAAAATGATCTCCGTACCATGTAATTGTCTCTTTTGATCAAAAAGGTCTCACATATTCGATCAAATAGCTAGATCAAATAAGACAAGTAAAATGAGACAGAGGTAGTAATTAAACTTCGGGAATACTCTGCAACCTAGGCTTCCAAGACTTAAGGTGGGTGGTCTCACAATGAACACTAACTCTCACCAATTGTCCCAATATTTGTCCAGCAGATATCCCTCCATGATTTTGTACATCCAAATCCATGCTCATCTTCCCTAGCAATTCTTCCAATTGCTTCTTTGTTATCTTTACCTTTACCTCTTTTATCGTTGAACAATCCATCTTGTTATCTTCCATTGTTTCGCCTGATTTTTCAATGTCGTTCATCATCGCAGGCGTCCAATCTTCCCCTCCCCATTGAGCCCCAGAGTCATGCCTTAGGCAATTCCCCATTTCCTTAGATTTTATAGGAGAAGTAAGGTAAGATTTTTTTGGGAAGGAAATAAAGTTTGATGATACATAAACTCTTATGTATGCTAAGGGTTTATAATGTTTAATAAAAAGGGTGAGTGAGCCCCTTTTATATTATGGAGAGAAAAGGTGGGTCAAATTAACCAAATAAAATTAGTGGACATGTAGGATTGGGAGGAAAGAGTCCCACCTGGCTGCAGGTATTAATGCTATTATTAGTCTTTGAAAAATTAGTAAAAGGTAATGGAGTAAGTTGTCCTCATTGCATGACTATGACTATATATGTTCAATCACTATATATTACTCCCTTCCGTTCCAATTGTTTATCTTCAAGTCACTTTTTACTCTATTAATACTCCGTATTAATTAAGTGGTATTAGTGAAAGAGAAAATTAATAGGATCGAAAGTAATTTTGTGAGTTGGTCTTTTAAAATAATTATTGTATATAATTGATGGGAAAATATTTTTAGGTTCGGCTTTGAAAGAAGTTGAGCCCGACTGTAATGGATGGGTGAAGTAATTGTCATGGGTTATTTTCATGGGACAAGGGGCCCTTTACTTAGCATTTAGGCAACAATGTAGCTAAGTTTGCATGTGCTGGCTCATTTATTGGTATGATAGTACCATCTACTTTTCTTGCTGTTTGTTGAGTTGTATGCCTATATATGTTGTAAGCTTTGGCTAAGCTTGTTATATATTCTGGCTTGGAGTTGTTGGCTATCAGGCTAGGGCGCGAACTATCCATATTAGCGGTGAAACTCTCTCGCAACCCCTTATTTCTTACTCTGGTGAATGAAATTATTTTGTTGTACCGCACATGGTGCACAAATACAAGTAGCTAGACATATTTTGGTGAATTGCATACATTGTAAATTGTAATTGCTAATTAATTTGCCTAATTTTTTTGTTAGATGCTACTGTACGCAAGAGTGTTAAATAATAAATATGGGGATGACCGAGCTTTAAAGATATGTTATGTTAACACGATTAGATAATGTAAGTTGAAGTGACATACGTATAAATGAGATGGAAGACTAATCATAATAGAGTTTTTTTTATAATTATTTTATTTTATTTTTAGTTGAAGATGTTACTAAGAGCCTATTGTGATTGACTGAATTGAGCTTAGCTGAACTGAACTGAATATTTATGAGAGGAGGATATTAGGAACTGAAGTGAACTGAATTGAAAATAATCTGTAGAGAACAAACTCTAAGGATTAAATTTGTATATGTAAATTCCAGGCTTTTTTCAAAAAATAAAAATAAATTCTACTATAGCGTATTCGCTTCATGTCCAAAATTAGTGGTTTGCCTAGTAATTAAATAAAAATAAATAAATAAAATTCTTTGTAGTTAATTACTTTATTAGTAATCATTTATAATTATCATCTTACAAATTAAATAAGTTGTTGGATCACTTGATAAGATGACCCTAGGTTAATCGGTTTAGATCCTAGAAATCTAGGGTTAAATTGTACCATGTAGTAAAGGCTACTTAGAGATTAAAAACTAGGGATCGATTCTCAAGTGCTTAGCCCGCAAATACTGGCCTAAAAGTAATAAATTAGATGAAGAAACCAGTGATGCTTTATAAGTTCATATATGATCAATGGAAAGTTAAATATTGCTCAATAGTTAGCATATATATGCAGTATTAAATGTAGAATGAGTCTTTGAGAGCAACATCACCTAAAATTTGAATAAAGATTTTTGATGGAATTGATAAAGTCTACTCAAGGATTAATATACTCATTATATATACTCGTATACATTTAATTTTGCATATTTGATTGTTCAATATTTTCTTAAAAATCCTTATCAGAGTAACTTATGAATAATTTGGTCTTTTATCACACCTTGAAGGTCTTCACTTGACTATTTTGATAATAGGAAGTGATGAACTTTCAATATACTTCGAATTAATTATATAAACGGTCTACTGTGAAATTAGCTAGATAGTCGAAAGTGAAAACCCTACTTGTGAATTGTGATGTCTAAATTTGAAATGTTTCTAATGAACTCTATTGTTGTGCCTTGTGCATGTGCTTTTCTTTACAATGGAAGTCGTTGTTTTATCTTCTATTGTAAATATTTGTCTATAGGAAAATCTGATTGAGTTTTTTTTACATGATATATACATCTTGATCTAGTAGTTAATGTCTTAATGATAAATTATATTTACAATTGTGTTATATCGCATGAATGAAAGCAAAAATAATGCCATTAGAAAAGAGAGTTAAACTTCATACTCCCTCCATCCCTTAGTACAATGTATCTTTCTCTTTATTATGTGAGGAATAAATGCTCAAAAGATGCATTGTATTAAGAGACTGAGGGAGTATTAAATAGTCTTTAAAATTCCATATGAAATTTATAGTAAAATAAAGATGACCATTTAATTATTCTAAAAAATATGTTACAAGTTCCATTAATTTATGTAATAAAATATACAACTAATATAGCTAAACAGTTTCTTTCCAAAAAAAAAAATATAGTTAAACGATAGTTTAATCAATATAACGGTTAGCTGAAAGTAGATATAGTGAACTTATGGTAACATCAAATGTTGTACAATTTTATCGTAAATTCCCAACTTCGGATCAGTATTTTATTTACTTAGCCGAGCCATTTAGCCGAAGAGCCATGGAGCTAGAGGCCAGCCATATGGAATAGGTAAAACTTCAACAACTTTTTAAGGTGTGAATGCAAATAAAGGGAAAAGGATCTTTAGAATTTGGGATACTTGAGTGGGTGTGAACACAAATATTACAAGGAATCTACACCTAACATTACGTGTGTGCTTACTTGGCCTTTAAATAATTTTTTAATTTATTTTTTCTTCCAATTAATGTTGTACGGTCTACCTAATTTGTAATTAATTACTCATTTAGCTATCATTACAACTTTACAAGATTTGGACCATCTTTTTAGGTACTTTCGTCCACTTTTGGAACAATCAAAGTGTTTGTCTAAGAAAATGGCTAAATTGCAAACTACACGTAGATCATTCTCATAAGTTTCATCCATATATAGAATTATTGAAATGTTATTCCCTTTTGATGTTATTTTTATACTCATATATTCAAATGGTTTTTCCTATGCACATCTATATTTTTTTTTGGAATATTAATCCAATACTACTAGCTATCCCTTTGTTATCCTTCAATTCCAATCTTTTGGTAACAAAATTGTCCCCTCTTCATTAAGTCATCAGTTACCTGTTACTATACATCTCTAACTTTTGTAATTCATAACCTTGTTTTTCATGGGTATTATATTGTTGTTGTGTACGACATAAGATTTTCCTACATAAAACTCGATACATGCTCATCAAATAGACAAATAGAGACTATACCGATTGATCCAAAATTTCATTGATGAAATAATAAATATTCTTTTAATTTTATAAGTCATGAAAGATATATAACTCATTGATATACTTAGATATAACTCAATATAAGCGTTATCAATCAATAACAATATATTAAAAGACACACCAGTAATGACCGTGTAATCTCCTGGTGTATCCTTAAATTTTTTATTTTCTTTTTAAAAAAGAATTTGTATTTATGAAACAAATAAATATTTTGCAAATATATATATAACAATATATACTTATACAGTATTCTAGAAGATTTATATGTTTTTCCAAAAAAGCAAACATGTAATATTGATATATCCTTCCAAAAAAAAAAGCAAAAATGTAAATATAACAATATAGTTACTTACTCTGTATTTTAGAAGATCTCATATACTTTTCCAAAAAAAAAAAAAAAAAAAAAAAAAAACTAACTATGAAGAAATTAACTTAAATACGTAGTTTATTATTATTATTTTTTTTTTGAAAAAATTAACTTATATATTCACACTTAATAATAACTACTAAAAATATTATTTGATATGAGCATGTAATATTATAGTTGACTCACGTAGAAATATAATGCTTTGAAAATCTTAATGAAAAAATGGCAATTACTCATACTAAAATAACTTTTTTGAGATATATTCTCTTAAATAAGTTAACTTTTTAAAGATATATTCAAGATATGATTTACAGGATCATCTTGATTGTATCAATTGATATCTTTTATTTAAATATCATACTTAATTAACTTTATAGTTTAAGTTTACTTACTTTTGGTAACAAGCTAATTAGGTGTTCTATTATATACGATTATATATTGCTATTATATTTTAACAGAGATTACTATATAATTAGCTTAGACAATAAAGTGAAATAGTATTATATTCAAATATTTGTGTTAAATATATGTCAAATCTTTATAATGTAGCCTAAAATTAAAAAAGATTTGATATATTTTTAATACAACTATATTATTTATAAAGCTATGACAAAATTTTCTTAACATAATCATTTATTTTGATCCAAATTTGTCAACTATGTTTTTAAAATTTAATTATTTTTGTTTATAAAAAACTAATTATAAGATAGCTTGACAATAGTACTGAAAATTACCGTACATGACACGGGAACTAACCTAATACAATATATTACCTACATGGCTACATTGGACTTGTTTGGTTATTACCTATTACTTCGTATGTTCTATGTTCTAACCTCGAATAGCATATGTAACAAAGAAAAATTTAATAAAAAGCACGTGAATTAAATTGAAGCAATAATGCAATCAAAGAAGTAATTGAGTACTCAAAAGAAAGAAAAAGTAAGAGACAGCACTAAACAGCATATATAGCAACTTTATTTGAATGTTTAAAGTTATAATTTCAATATAATATACTAGTAATGCTACGAAGTATAACATAAAGTTTGAAAAATATTTAGTTAGTGTATACAAGTAGTATATAATATACACTTGCATGCTTTTGGTACAGGTATACTTAATAAGTCCAATGACTGACTAGTGAGTCTAATATTGGAACCTCACTTTTGTAATAAGTACTCCAGGTTAGTTGAGCTCGAGGACCCTTCAACGAACTCACAATACTCATCAATAAATTAAACTAGATGAATCCCGTGCGATGTACGGTTGTTTGATTTTTTTAAAATAATTTTTTTTTTTTTTTTTTTTTTTGTATTTATAAGCCTAAAATTTGTTATATATTTAGATAAAATTCCTAATATTAAAAGATAATATATAATATTTAATTAATTTAAACTTAAAAATTTCATTCGCCAATTTTGCTTACATGGCATTTAAATTATTTAATTCTAAAAGAAATTAATAATCTCTTATTTAATTGGCTACTACTAAGATTTTTAATCCTACATGGCGCGCTGAGAAAATTAGATCCTACGTGACTCTCTAAAAACTCGGCAAAAAACTTCCCTTTCTTGTTTGTGGACACCGAAATTTTGCTGATTATTAGGTGTCAGATATATGTGAAAAGGTAGATAATATCGAAAAATATAAGATATTTATCTTCAAGATCTCATAGAATATTTAAATAGCTATCTTGTTCACTACTCTACAACACTCTATATAAAAAGGGTCATTTCTAGGGTTTAAGGAGGCTCATATGGAACAAGTCACAAAGACCCCATCTCCTCATTTGTATATTGCAGGTTTAAAACTTTATGGTTTACAATGCCTTATGATTAACTTAACTTAATTACTAGCTTTGGCACTAATTGAACAACATCTTTAAATGGCTTATCTAAGAACAATCTTAATTTATCTTGTGGAAAAAGGTATGCATTTCCAATTCTTAAAGTATTTTCAATTTGTGTTGTTGAGGAAAAAAAAAAAACATTGTAGGAGTTAAATTGACATAAATAACATGATTGGTTGTTTCATAAAACAACATTTGTATATGATTGATTGAGTTCTTTAATGCAAATTTTCTATAAAGTTTTGGGTTCAAATTCTTTCTAAAAGATACCTAAAATACTCCAATTTTTTGGATGCAAACCCCAACCCTAACCATTCCCCAATTTGGAAGGACATCGATCCTTCAAAGTAGCTAGAGACTAGAGACATTTAGAAAAAGGGATTAACTATCCACATTGGGGTGAAGACACTTCTCTTTGGCTTCACAAGTGGGCGGGGGACAACATACTCTATCTAAATAATGATAATGTCAAAATTCCTGATAGCAAAGGCCATTGGAGGGGATCGGATCACAAATGGTTTCTTCATCCTATTTCTCACCTCATTCCTAACAATATCATCCTTAATGTAGAAACTACCCCTCTCCCCCTTTTTCACTCCCCCAAAGATAAGTTTAGATGGACTCTTCACAAACATGGTTCCTTCACAATTAAATTTGCTTATCATGCATCTACTTCTCCTACTCTTCAATCTCTTTTTAATGTTACTTTGGAACATTACTATAGGTATTTTAAAATAAGTATTTTGAGAAGTATTTAAATAAATTGAAATGTTTTATTTATAGTATTTTAATTATTCATTTTAATAAAATTAAATATATTTATAAAAGGAAAGTTTATTTTATTAATTATTTAATTTAAATTGGGAGTTAATTTAAAAAAGTTTTATTATAAAGTTTTATTAGGAAAGGGATTAGGAAAGATTAAAAAGTGAAAGTTTAAGAAGAAGGGTTTCGAAAGAAGGGGTATGTATATTCAACACTTGAGGCAAATTAAACTTTGCTTTGCCCAGAGTGGAGAAAACCCAAGGTAAACTTTCTCTCCCTTCTCCTTATTTTTCTTTTCTTTTTCTTTCTTTTTCCCCTTCCCCTTTCTTTCGGCCTTCACCACCACCGGCCACCGGTGGGCCGCCAGCCACCACCAGCAACGCTGGCAGCAGCATTGGCGTCACCAACAGCACAGCGGCAGCCGGCTGTGGTGCCGTGGCTGCTGTCCGGATTTTCGAACAAAAAAAATAAATTCTTTTGTTTTAAAAATCGATTTAATCCTATATCTAATTATTTAATTATGAGTTTTGTGATCAAATTATGATGTTTGATTATAAGTAGCATGTGATTTTATTTTTAGATTTTAATTCTAATTAAAAAGCCTCAGTTTTTGAAACCCTAGATTCATAAATTATTAATTATTGAAGGATTATGATATAGGATGGTTTAAAACTTTGATTTAAGTGTTTTAAGGTCTAATTACAACAAGTTTTCATTAAATTATAATGCTGGAATTTTTTATAGTACATTAAAAATCAAGTTATTTAAAGGAATTTTAATTACCCATTAATTGCGATTAAAATATGATGTTTTATATATAATTTCATCTTATTTTAATTAAATTATGATGGGTTTAATAATAGTATATATTGCTGGAAATTTGTGTAGAGAGGATTTTAATACTTTTCTATGATTTTAAATTGTGAGAGACTTCGAAGTGAGTGATTTCTATTAGTCGTGGCGATTTTAAGATCGTATACAAGGTACGTTCGCGTACTTAGCGTAATTTTATTGATGTAGTAGCATGCTAAATGTGTTTAATTGATTACAAGTAGTATCATGCTAGATTTGGAATGAAAATTATGATTTGGTTGTTATTGGTGATTGAATTATGATGCATGAATTTTTATTTTTTTTTGACAGGCACTAAGCAAATCCTAAGGTCATTCAGTATCCCTTTTCCTAGCCTTTACTGCTAGATCATGGGCCTTCCAAATGACCTGTCTAGAAACCTTAATAACATTACAAAACATAAAAGAACTACCCTTCTTTTTGATATCCTCAAGTAAATGCTGAAGGTGAGCTGGTCCCGAGGTCGTGGATCGCAGTAGTTGGATTGCCTTTTGACAGTCTGTCCTGATCAGGATTTCTGAGAAGTGTCTCGATTGGCACCAGTTCTGGACATGAAGGATGCCTAGCAATTCTGTATGCAGGGGGGATTCACACAGCACCGTCTCCTTACCATGCTCTATGATGTCGCCATCCGCCGACTGTCTATATGTCCAACCAATGCCACATCTAGGGAAACCCCTTCCACTCTTATCCTTCTTCCACGCCCCATCCACGTCGATGATCCTGCTAACGGTCCCCGATTGCTGTTGACCCAATTCAACCACATTTACCCTGGTATTCACCCTGCTATTCTTATTCTTTGCATCTTCTAGCTTACTAGTGGCTGATTCAATACATATAGCTTCCCAACGCTTCATACTATCTACCAGCCTACTCGGATCCGTCTCCCCTTCTCGAAAGATTGCATTATTTCTGAAGGTCCAAAGAGCCCATAATCCTGCAAAAAAAGAATTAACTCTATCGCATCTCGGTCTATCATCCCTCAAGAGCATCTTCACCCATTCTTGAATCCATTGATATATGGGAATTCCAAAACTCGCCCTGGAATTGAGACCTAGAGATGAAGCCGCCCACATCCTGGAGGCCTAATCACAATCCCTGAAGAGATGTTCCCGTGATTCATTCACCTTCTTGCATAGGACACAGACGGGGTCAATTTTCACCCCTCTTCTCTCAAGGTTTTGCTTATCAGGTAGTGCATTGTTACAAATTCTCTAAACAAGCAGCTTGACTTTTGGCAAATACGGAATAGCCCAAAATTTCCTCCAAAAGGTTGAACAATTTTCCAGTGAAGAATGTTTTTGGCTATCTGACAGTAACGTGTTGTATCCTGATTTTACCGTATACTCACCTGTCACTGTATGTGCCAAGTAAGCTGGTCTTCCACATCATTCTCTGGGATGTGCATGCTTAGAACTGCCCTGGAGTCCCGGAAATCAAATAGCCTCCTTACTAAGCTCACATTCCAACTTCTCCCTGTTTGGCTAAATAGATGCTGAACAGTCTGGATGTTTTCCCTATCCGCTTGACCAATATTGTCCCCAACTTTCACCTTCTTCCCCTGCACCCACGTATCTTCAAAGCACCCGATTCTCGCTCCATTTCCCAGTTTCCGGGAAGTATGGCTCCTCATTTGCCGTGCCACACGAACAATTCCTTTGTATCCCCACGACCAGTGACCTTTCTCCTCCCCTTTTTCTGCTGCTTCCAAAGGGAGTTGTTCATATTTTGCCTTATACAGCATGCTGAGGAGATTAGTAGGATTCCTTTGGCAGCGCCAGACATACTTGTACAAGAGAGCCCTATTGCAGAAGTTCATATTCCTAATTCCCAGTCCACCTTTCCCCCTTGGGAGCTCCAGTAACTGCTTGCTTCTCCAATGCATGGCCCCACACTTCCCTTTAGGTGCCCAAAAGAACCTCTTGAAAAGGGAGTCCAGGGTATCTGTGATTTTTTTCGGTACCAGAAAGATGGAGAAAACATGAGTAAACAGAGCAGAAAGTATACCATTTATGAGCACCAATCTTCCTGCCTGAGATAGAGATTTCGACGCCCAGGAAGAGAGTCTTGCAGTTGCCTTATCAATCATGAACTGGAAGTCCTTTGTCTTCGCCGAGGTGAAGGTCACTGGGCTTCCCAGATACGTCCCTGCATCTGACTTCTCTTGAATTAGGAGGGCATTTTTGATGTTGAGCTTTCCTTCCTCTGACAAGTTCGGGCTAAAAATGATAGATGTTTTTTTTTTCAGATTGATTATTTCCCCCGAGACTCTACAGAACAGATCCAGAACTTGCTTGAAATGCTGACAGCTCGTGATATCTGCCTGGATAAAGAACAGAGCATCATCTGCAAAAAACAAGTGAGAGATAGGCATTGCTCTTCTAGCAATCTTGATGCCACTAATTTTCTTCTGCTTCTCCAGATCACGAATCATATGAGATAGTACTTCCATACATATGATGAAGAGATAGGGAGATAGGGGGTCTCCCTGTCTCAAGCCGCACCTGGGAGTGAACTTCTGAGATGGTTCACCATTCAGCAAAATTCTGTAGGAGACTGATGAAACACATTCCATCATCCATTGGACCCAGGTAGCCGGGAAGCCCATCCCTTCCAGCGCTCGCTTCAAGAAGTCCCATCGCACTCTATCATACGCTTTGTTCATGTCGATCTTTACTGTGGCCAAGGGTTGCTTACCGTGTCAGTAACCTCAGCTCATTATTGGGGGAGGTTAGTTGGGAAACCCATTTGATGCGTAATCAACGCTAAACAAATTATGTAGTTGTCTAGTTGAGAAGCTTTGTTAAATGTTATATGCTTGAAAAACAGGAGCAACAAGGTAAGTTGTGTGTTGATATATAGGTAAATGCATGTTAGTGTGTTAAATACACTTATGTACCCAGCTTTGTTGATTGTGTGTTTGTTGGTCTTGTCTTTACCTTGGCCCTATGATGACCCATTTTAATGGAGAGTAGTGGAAACAAGTAGAAAGAAGTTTTTTAGGTGATGAAGCATATTGATGATGGACATGAGTGAAGAGCGAACCATGCTAGTTTCCATAAGTATATGATGTGTTATTGCTTTATTTATATTATGATATTTCTATTGCGAGACTGACGTAAAAGTTTTAAGTTGAATTGATTTGGTTAAGGGTCTAATACAATGGTTCCAAGTTGTAGGTTTGATTTTGTTTTACTTTGGTTTGACTTTACTTTCGTGAGTTGACTGTTTATATTGAGTCGTTTTAAAGTATTTTAAAGAAGAGTCTTCCACTGTGTGTATTTGATAGTTGTTTAAGCCGTTTTCATGGTGCAGTAATATCTTAGATTTTCCTATTTAAAATTTCAAACAGTGCAAAACAAGTATTTTAAAGAAAAAGAATTTTTAGGGTGTTACATATTCCCCCCAAAAAAAAAAGAATTGATGTTAAACTGCCTTCAATCTTCAAGCATCATGTTCAATAATCGTGCCCAGATTCAGTACATACTCGATTATGTACCGCGCATGACAACCTTCTTCTTGAATCCCGAGATTACAACATTTTTAAATTAAAAATTTGCTTTTGTTTGATAATGGATTCCACTTTGTTTTAAATTTAAAATTTGCATTTGTTTATTACAGTAATGATTTGCTAAAGGTGACCCACATTTAAAAAATCCCCTTCTATGTTTGTTGAATTAAATTATATTATCAATTTATACAAAAATCAAGACATGTACCGTTGAATTAAACTAGATTATCAATTTACACATAAATCAAGACAAGTAAACATTTAATTAAGAAATCAAATATAAGAAAGATTTATACATTTCCTTTGTCGCCAAGTGGAATGAATAGACACTTACTAACGTGGTTCAATTTCTCCGAGTCCCTAATCTCAATCGAGCAAGTTGAACAAATGTTGGTGACCCCAGATCTGCAATTTGGTTCCTCCCCATTGCATTCACTTTTTTTTTTTTTTGGTTTTTCTTAGTTTTCATGCAAACACTAACTTATACTCCACTTCGTACTAACTACTATATTAAAACTTTTGTAAGAAAAAATAACCTCTTATGACCTTTATGATAGTGGATTGCTAAATACTGCTATCAAATATTATCAAACCGCGATAATCTGTTTTACGTAATTTGTTAATTCTTAACTTAATCATTTACATTATACATAAATAATTCAATTTTTGACTAACTTGATTACAGGAACTTAATCATTTACATTATACATAAATAATTCAATTTTTGACTAACTTGTAAAATCATTGATATTGTACAAAATCATTGATATTATACATAAATAATTCAATTTCAAGCATTATACATAAATAATTCAATTTCAAGCATTATTAAGGAAGTTTGCCAAAATCACTACCGTACCCTTTGTTCATAATATAATTAATCTAAACTGGAAAATATACCCCATTATACTTTCACCCTCAATAACTGATTTATTTATTACAGTAAACATTGAAGAATTGTACAATAATTTTAAATAATTAATTGATTATGTCTAATTAATCAATTACACTAATAATTGAAAAAGTTACCTTAGGTTTTGGTTTGGGATTGTTGACGGAGCGGCGAATAAATATGCAATTTGATACATGAGCGTAGTACACTTCCCAGCCGACAAGTGTATCATTGCAGGTAGAACAAGAGTGTGTGATCTTCGATCCATTAGCAGCAGTACCACCTTGTTGCTTCTTCACTGGATTTCCCATTTCTTCGGTTTTTCTTTACTGTAGAACAAAAGGGTTATCTTTTACCAAATATGAGTTTATAAATCCCTAATTTTTAAATAGCTTTGGTTCTAATTGAACATCTTTAAATTGCTCATATGTTAAATTGCATTAAATTAATCAATCTATTTTGTCTAAAAAAACTTGTGTGGTTTCCTAAAAAAAAAAAAAAAAACACTTGCGTGGACGTAAGGTTTGTACACAACTGTCATTATATTGAATATAGTGACTTTTATTATGTTTAATATTATTGTAAACTCTAAAAGCATATGGCTCAGTTTTGAAAATAGTGACTGATTTTAACATAGTGGCATTTAGTAAGAGGGTAATTGTGAAAATAGAAGAAGAAAAAGGGAGGTAAATTTTAAAAAGTGTCCCCCTAGCCGAGAAAACGACAAGAATGAAGTAAAAGGTGATGATTAAAAATTTTTATTTAATTTATGAGGTGGTAATTTAATATAATTTTTTTATAGTAATTTCAAAAAATATATTATTAATGAGTAGTAAAATACAAAATTTCCTTTAAAAATAAGTTGTTTTTTTTTTTTTTTTTTGCCATTATAAATTTATAATAACAAAATGACTTTTATTTTAATATGATGATTTTTTTTCTTTTTTATATTAATAGAACAATCATAGTAATAAACAGCGCGTTTCTGGTGCGGCTGGCTGCACGGTGCGACAAGGTGTCATATCAGTAACGAACCCTTCTAGTAATCCCTCAAGTAACCCCACTTAAGTAACCCCTGACTGACTTAGTAACCCCTAACTGACCTGGTAACTCTTAGTAACCCCTGACCGAGTAACCCCTTACTAACCTGGTAACCCCTAGTAACCCCTAACCGACCTAGTAACCCCTAATAACCCAAAGTAACCCCTAACCTAGTGACCCTTAACCGACCTAGTAACCCTCTACCTAGTAACCCCTAACCAACCTAGTAACCCCTGACCAACCTAGTAACCCCTAATATCCCCCGATCTAGTAACCATTAACCCACACCCAAACCCAACGTAACCACCACCAACACCAACCTTTTTCAACCGCCATCCTCAAAACCTTAAACCTCACCACACCACCACCAACTCCCGTACCACTAACAACCATTAAAAATGTTTTAAAAAAAATTAATCAAAAATCGCCCAAAAAATCATCAAATTCTTCAAAAATTTGGAGTATTATTTACCTTTACATTTGAGAACAAATTTCTGTACGAGTTTATTGTTATTTACCTGATTACCTCATTCCATTCAAATTTTCCTCAATTTGTTCTTTTGTCATAATAGGGTTCGTAGTTGCAAAAATTCTAATCAAATTGGTCACTTTAACTTGTTTATATGTAAGTT